CTGGCGAAACGTTAGGAAACAAAACTTCAAGAACACAGCCACACAGCCCGGAAGACCCACACCAGCCATCGTATGCCGGCCGTGAAAGCCTTCGACAATACATTAAACTGGAAATAGTTTACATCTGTTTTATCATTGGCATTACTTTTTAAAAATGCTACAATACTTTTGAAACATTTTACCTTCTGAAAACCCTTTTATCATTTTCATAAAATGTAAATTTTCCATGGAACATTTTGGCTGGGTTCATTCAACATGCTAACCCAAAATGTGGCTTGTTGTTGTTACAGCTTAGCATATTGAATCAATCCAATTAGCTGATTCAATAAGCAGATCATGGTATACTATTTGTACTCACACAAATCGTGGTTTACAAAGGGCTCTATATTTAAGCTGAATATGCTTTGTGCAAGGGAAAATCATTGATAGTTGTCCAGTGGTCTTTCACAAAAATGTACTATAAATGAAGTTCTAAAACAGAGCCCCCATTCTATTTAGTTCTTGGCACCCATGGAAAACAGCCTGTCAGCAACTGCTGTGATGACCAATATAAATATATGAGGTACAATCTAGGAAAGTATTAGTTCCACAGCTAGTATAGCTATTGTATCTGCTTGCTTTTCCTTTTTTTTTTTTTTTCAAAGCAAGTGTAATTTTCCATTCATTTTAATTGTTGGTCACCATCCTGAAGGATAGATATGTCCTAGAGGACCTATAAATAACTTCAGGTGGAGATAAAAATGTGTGGTGTTCATTCTAATACCTTTGGTTGTTTCAGAGATTCACAGGCTACAATGGCTGGGTTGTAGAGCACTTACTTTGACACAAAAGGTCTCCGATTTAATCACTGCATCGCCACTTCTGTCTGGAAAGAGCACCCTAGAAAAGTTGTTTATGAAGATTCTCTGTCATCCAGGTGGAATTGTCTGGAGGCTGAGTCATGGCAACTGGACTTCTTTTCTTTTTGGTTAGAGATGTTTCGCTACTAGTCCAAGCAGCTGAAGAAGCTGCTTGGTCTCTAACCAAAAAGAAAAGAAGTCCAGTTGCCATGACTTAACCTCCAGACCCTAGAAAATTCCACATAAGAGAGGAGCAAAGTGCATTTGAGCACCGTATGTCATTAAAAGGTTCTCTTATTGTAATCTACTCTTGACTGTTGTTCCACTTAATGTGATATTATGCTTTAGGTTCTTAACTTTTTCTGGTTGTCACTTCTATGCCTTTGTCACAACTTTGGCTTAAGTGCACTCTGAAACTGCTCTGCTGAAAAAAGTAGTAATCTCTTGAATAAAATGGGTCTGAAATCACCTGCCAAGTGCTCTCTGTTTCATAAGCTATTAATGGCTGGATTAGCAACTGAAAAGAACTTCTTGTGTCCCAGGAAGGAAAGTACTCTAACTATTGAATCCTTCTGGAGTGAACTCAATTATAACCACATTAGCATCTGAGATACCTGTATTTGTTTTTGGTTTTGTAAAACCTCTTTGCAACCTTTCTTCAACAATTATTCCATTTGAAAATAGCATAATGGAAATGATAGATGCCTTGGAGAGGAAAGTTTTGTTGCAAAATTCTAAAGCCTCTTCCAGGCCCAAATGACTTGTACCCATTAAAGGTTATCATTTTTTAATATTAGGTAATGGGATGAGAGGGAGGAAGAGAACCACTGGGCAGACTGCACATGAAATGGGGGCTTAATGGTTTCCTTCTTTGTCAGTGATGCAGTGACAACTGCTCATGTGCACACCCAGAAATTGTTTCTATGCTTCTATGACTGAAGTATATTTTTTAGAAACTACAATGCGGAAAAGATTACTCCTATTCCCAATAGAGCTAATACTAAGAAAGCCCAACCAGACATATTAAATAGGGTCGTGCACATAAGGCTTGTGGGCTTTAAATATCACTGTTTCTCCCCAGCAAAATAGTGCAAGGGGAGGAACTAGATATTTGGAAGGAAAGAACTGCTAGACATGATACAATATTTATCATTTCCATGCACACAGGTAGTTCTCGGTTAACAATGGCAATTGGGACCAGAA